AAGGGAGATGCGAGGGGGGCGGGTTGGGAGGGGTGGGGGGGGGGGCTTTAACAAGTTTGGCTGGTTCTTAAAACAAATGACAGCCAACAAAACAAATGTGCAATTACAAGCGAGAATTAAAAGGCATGACATTTACCAAGGCTCATTTATATGGCCAACCACGCTCGGCTCATTGGTAAAGTCCCAATTACGGCGGGTAGAGCGACGGTGAGCGAGCAGACGCTGGGTTGACTCGGGATTGAGGCCGGACAAACACAGTAGGGCTGAGGCGTTAACGGTCCGAGGGAGGTTCATCTCGTAGATGAATGAGCACCTGGATTAATGAGGTCAGCGAGCAGCAAGCTGCTGAGGAAGGAGATTCGAAGCCAATGCGGCCATTTTACGCTTTACTTTTACTGCACGTCTCATGGCCCGTTTTCCTTGGCCGGGTTTTAGAGGGGGCAACCGGAAGGTCACAAAGAGCCACAGGAGACCAAAGAACGGACTTTTTTTTTTTTTTTTTTGGTTCGAAGACAACCGAATGGGGGGCAATAACAGTTGGCGTGCCTATTATAGTGTCCTGGCGTGATTTTGAGAAACCGTTTGAAGGAAAAAAAAAAAAAAACTCGATTGGAAAACAGTTTTATTTTCTCACAATGCAATAATTTGGAGACAGCTATTATATTTAATTGCTTTCCGTCTGGAAATTAGCCCATCGGAGTTGGCAAAGGTACGCTTTCCAATGCGGGTGATGTCACGCCATTACATGCATCGTCGCGTTTGTAATTATTCAAAGCACTCGCAACGTCGTCTTTTGCAATTATATCAAGTTCATTGTGCCGTTTGACAACTTTGACTCTTCTTCGCGATGGAATAGTAATAAGGTAGTCGCTGGCCCTTTAAACGGAGCGGGCTAATAGATGCCGCGGAAAGGTGCTAATGGATGACAACTTGAAAAATGGCCTTATCTGAGAAAGGCCCAGGACAGTTACAAATGAAATAATCGGACCGGGCACATTAATCCATGCTCATGCCCTCCGGGGAGACCTCTGCTTTGTGTGAGCATGTGTACAGGCAGTGTGTAAATGTACGTCTGCGTGCGTTTGCAAGTGACCAATGCCTTTCCCCCCACCCCTATATGCTTCACTTTCAATCATTGCATTTGCCAGCGAAAAGAGAGGGATTTTCGTTTTTCTTCTTTTTTAAGCAGTCAGATTTTTCTACAAATAAAGAGACAAAACAACTCTAAAGGTATCCATCCGTGTTCTACCACTGACTGTATACTGTCCACGGCCCCACTTTGGTGACTTTGGGTGAGAGGCACGGTACGCCCCGGTGCGGTTGCCAATCAATCACAGAGCAAGCGAAAAGACATTTGAGCCACAATTCGCAATCTGGCATCTAATGGCCACCGAGCACGACAATGCCACCGTAAAAATGATGTAAGGTTATTGCTCGGAAGGTTCCTGGAGTGCCAGGCGACCTAGACGCGCAAAGGAAGTGGGGGCAGCAGAAGGACAAGGCAAAGGCTGGCCTCATTAGCTGAATATTAACGTCATCGTCAGTTTTGGAGAACGCGACACGAACCGCAGCGCGTCTCGCCGAATGCTTCTTGTCAGCCCCCCTTGTACAAATGTTTAAATATTGTCCTCTTCATGGACAAAATGGACCGGGGGGTAATTATTCCCCGTCTTTAAACGCAAACAAATTAAATCAGCTTTTGTTTTGCGTTCAACCAGGCGAGGAACTCCATGAAGAGCGATGAGAAAATGAAAAACATTCATCTTTTGGAAATGTTTTTTTTTTTTTTTTTTCATTTGTCAGCAGTTCAGCCAACTGCAGACGTGCTGTGAAAGCACTGTGACATATTTGTTGGTCAACACTGCCATCTGCAGCGCATGTGTTCACCCATCGTTCCATGCGTTCACACTGCTTCTTAATCCCAGTCGCAATCCCTTTTCTTTTTGCTCACTCTCTGCCGACTGTCAAGTTTTCTATCACTCGACATCGAGCAAACCGGTCGAGGCAGATGGCCTCCGCATCAAGGAAAATCCTTTCAAGAAAACGAAAACTTGCTTAGGCTACATCTTACGTGGGCAAAGCTAACTGAAACGAGGTGCTGGTTATAGAGAAAATGTCCTTTGCTGTCGTATTTGTGAATTAATATCATACATGAGCTCTGGGAGTTCATGCGAAGTGTATTTATTTCGGCGTCGGGGTACGTCCGCAGCTGCAGAAATATGAAGATCAGACTTTATTACACAATACCCTTCCTTGCACTCCACAAATGCTCTATAAATACAAAAAAAATTGTTTTGTTTTATTTAAATAAAACCATTAAAAACTGAATTGAAACGAAGCATTTCCTACCAAATAAAAACCAGACAAACTTGCCTCTAAAAACAACAACTGAATTTCAAAAAAAAAGGGGGGAAAAAAAGAAAATCTCATATTCCTGCGCCACCCGAGCTGCGTCTTGATTTTTTTTGAGGCTTCTCATGATGAAGATTTTTTTTTTCCTTGCCCCCTTTGCCTCGTAAAGCAGAATTCAGTTTGTCTCAATGTGACGTGAGGAGCACGGTTCGAGACCTGTTCCACGTGGAAAGTGCCAAGTGCTAAGCTCGGTTGTAAATCGGGACTATCACTGTAAAACTGAATTGAATGAATGGCATCTCATTTGCACGACTTGACAGGTTTGGGATGCAAGATAACAGCAGACAGCCTGGAGTGAAACTACGGTACGCCTTGTTGATTCATGTATCATTTGTTACGCCTTTAATGACGACACTACACTGCTGCAAGAATAAAAAAAAATATGGATCCTCTCACGAGCAATGGTATGACCTATGAAACTATTCACCGTTTTAGCTCCCCATTTTATATATTGTCGCTATATTGCGATTTCTTACGTATTTTATCGCAGGCGTTTTATAGCACGCCATGTTTAAAACGACAAACTGTATTTCCATTTGCTTTCAGGGCATTTCTTCAAATCACGCAGATACGCTGTCGCCAACACAAACTGATTGCCGTTACTTGGTTTGAATGAAGTGTTGACAATCTTGGGTGACGGCAGTGATGCTTCGAGCAGATGACTGACAAGCGAGGTGTGCTTTCAGTGAACATAGTGTGCATCATGCATGCAGACGTGAGTGTGTCTGATTCAAAATATTAAAATGTATACAGAATACAAGAGTGATTTTGGTACTGAAGCTGTACAAGCATTTGTGGCGTGATTTAAAAAATAAAAATTGCAAAAGTCAAGCAATATAAATCTCAAAGTTTTACTTTGATCTACCCATTCCACTATTGAACTGCTCTAACGACTGGTTTGACCATCTCCATCAGTTGAGCAAAATTTCAGTCTGCCAAACAAATACTTTTTTTGAGGGGGTGCAGGGGGTAGCAAAGCATCGTCAATCCCAAAACCCAGCGAAACATGTTCAATGCCAATCCTCCTCTAAATAGCTTTTTTGATATAAATATCAGACTGCCTATTCCATTACAGTCCTTCTTCAGAGATGTGCGATAAAAATAGTCATGTAGTTCTATCAAAATTAGCGTATCTAAAACTGCTGTGTTCCCAAATCTTTATTAAGCCAAGGCGCACATTCCACACAAAAACTCTCATGGGACACAGCCAAACAATAATGAGCAGAATTTCCAGACAAATTAAGAAAAAAAAATGGACAGTATATTATTCTATGGCACCCCGGATGAGTTCTAACAACCAGTTTTTGGATCACTTTATTAGTGATTTTAGCCAATGTCGTTAATACTCTCGAATTGAAGGCAGTCCACCGAGTGGGGGGATTGTAGAAGTATGACAATGCTGCCATCCAGTGCGCACAGGGGGGATCATGTTTACAAAAAAATATCATGGTCACAGTCGAGACAAAAAAAAAAAAAAAAAAGTGTCAATGACCCAATCATGCAATGATGGTGCTGTGAAGGGGTGCAAAGAATGAGAATAAAAATTTGGTACCGTTACAACAAACATCATCTTCGTCCCGATTCAATTTCAGATTAAACTGCCTCATCACTCTCATTCTGCAGGCGAATGAAAAAGTGCCCGTGTCGAACATTAATCAGCACTAAATGATAGCTGACCGATTCTGGGTTATTATTTTAAGTTACAGGTCACCAACATGCCACCCGCAGGCACCCTGGAAGCCCCCCCCAAGCACCACGGGCGTGGCACCTGCTCTAAAATCAGCTCAGCAGTGATGGGACGCTGTGATTTCCTAGAATGTTGTCGAAATGATCTTGTTAAACCTCTTGCAGAGATTTATGGAAATAAAGTGTTGCATATTCATATTTATCCGTTTCCATGAAGTGTACACAAACGGTAGTTCTCAGTTTCAAAAACAACGGTGACCGCGGCTTTAGATGGGTTAGTACGCCAAAGACATCATACGGCTCTCCTTGGCTTGCCATCAATCTCCGCCCTGTAAGGAACCAGCAAAGAGTACAAAAGGCTGATCGTGCTCCGACAAAAGGCTGCCCTTGGTGCGCACTGTGACAAAGGTCATCCACGGAGTCGCATCCGTTTATCATCAACCGATGGCTGACAGAAGCGCCGAGACGGGATTTCGTAGGATTTTGTAGAATCAAAGTTGACAATGCACCAAGGTGAAAGAAAGTGCGGCGACGACAAATAGGCGAGGTGCGTGCATTCCAATATGTGCCATTCAAATTCTTCTTGGTTAAGCTCACAAACTGAAGACTTGGCATTCAGCCGGGGCCGGGTAAACTTGCTGAAACGGCATGTGGCCGATAAAGAAACCTTTGTATTAACTCGGGGTTTAGGACCTCGCTGTCTAATTCTTGAGGCCTTAATGCCTTATTGATAAGTCGTAGATATCCCGAACGACTGAACAAAAAGGCGATGGCAGGAGACAGAAGCCATAGAGAGTAAGCACCTCTCCCCCCCGTTGGACATTTTCCAATTAGGCTGTGGCTCGCCAGCAGGTCTAAGCAAGGATAATCCGAGGGGTTATGGCGTTGCAGGACCGACAAAGTGAACGACACCCGAAGGAAAACGAGTGTCGGGAAGAGCTCGCGAAAGGCGAATGACGATGGCTGTGAAGAGAAGAGAGGAAATGAAAGGTGTAGTGCTTGAAGGTGCAGCGAGTTTATTGTCCTGAAGGAGGACGAAGAGTGAGAAGGGGAGATTTGCAGTCGGCGGAACCAGTATGTGACGTCAGCAGCTTGTTGGATTGAGGTGCTTTGTCCAGCTGATTTTAATCCGAACTCATTAAGGAACCGAGAGCAAGTGTCTGCGCAAGTGCTCCGGCAAGAGAAAGTGACAGCCGACCGAAGGAGCACTCGACGATCCATCAAGGGAGATAAGTAGACCCTTATCTATGACTTAGAGACGGCGGGGAACCGTTTTTGATATTCCCCTTTGAAGCATCTTGCTGGGTTTTCTTTTATTTCTGTTGTACGTTCTTTGTCCTTGGAATTTCATCGCGTGGCTTTGGTCAAAACATGCCCACAAACGGAATTAACAGAGCCCTGAAGCTCCAGTTTGGGCTCATCAACTACGAAAACCGCTACCTTACAGCAGAGGCCTTTGGCTTCAAGGTGAACGCTTCAGGCACCAGTATGAAGAAGAAGCAGATCTGGACCTTGGAGCAAGACGAGCACGACGGCCAGGTGGTGTTCCTCCGCAGTCACTTGGGACGTTACCTGGCTACCGACAAAGACGGCAAGATCACATGCGGGGCTGAAAGTCCTGAACCAGAGTGCCGGTTCCTGATCGTGCCCCAGTCTGATGGTCGCTGGGCGCTGCAATCGGAACCTTATCTGCGTTACTTCGGAGGCTCAGCCGACTACCTGTCCTGCTTTGCCCAGGTGATTGCCGAGCAGGAGTTATGGGCCGTCCATTTGGCGCTGCACCCGCAGGCCAGTCTGCTCAGCGTGGCACGGAAACGCTACGCCCACCTGTCGGCCTCCGACGGAGAGATCTCGGTGGACAGCAACATCCCCTGGGGGGTGGACTCCTTGGTCACTTTGGTGTACCAGGATGGCAAGTACAGCCTGAAAACCTGCGACAGCCGCTTTCTCAGCAATGACGGCAAACTGGTGAAGGAGAACACCAACGCCACGAGCTTCACTCTGGAGTTGAAATCCGGCAAGCTGGCCTTCAAGGACTGCGATGGCAAATATCTGACCCCCGTGGGTCCCACGGGAACGTTGCGATCTGGCCGATGCTCCAAGCCGGGGAAAGATGAGCTCTTTGACCTTGAGGAAAGTCACCCACAAGTCGTTTTTCAAGCTGCCAATAAAAGATTTGTCTCCGTCAAGCAAGGTAAATCGACAAACGACACGTCGTTCCTGCCCGCCAGTCGAGAAAACAACACGTAGCTGCTGCGACGCGATATCTGAAAATGAAATTCACACGAAGCAGCAAGTGGTACAGTGCTGCCAGCGACTCACTCTGCACAAAAAAAAAAAAAAAAAATGTCTTAAGATCATTTTTTTATGTGGGGTGAATGAGTGTTTTATTTTTCTCGCCACTCTGAACTGTTTTTTAAAATGTCAGCTTTTATTAAAATGTCAGTATAGGACAAGTGTAGCATGAACCAAGCGAACAATCTGAGGGGGGTTCTTACAAAATTGTATTTCTATATCATAGTTGACGTTTCAAAGGTTTCACTGGATATGCTGGTTGAATGAACATTATATATTTGCCACCGCATATTCATTTGACGGTTATTTTCAAAGTGGGGGATACATACAAAAACATCTCAAGGCTCAATTATAAAATAAAAACGAGTACAATAAAATAAAAGAGTGAAACTTTGATATTTATAAAACACTCGTCCCACGATTTAAAAAAATAATAATAATAACAATTCAGATCCTGTTGTAATCTGAGTTCCAAGGGCCACAACTTTAGGCACAATCCCAAAACAAGAGCCTATTGTCTTGGTTGGCTTTTTGCAAGCCCTTGCTGCATGTGTTGTAGATGTAAGCTGCAGAAACTGCCCTGAGTACATTAAGTGTTCCACGCAGACGCTAACAAAGACAAGCAGGGTGTTAATTCACTGAGAAATAAACCAAAAAGGTGTTTAATAGAAATATACGCGTTGTTTTTTTGCAATATGTTAGCCAAAAATCTCTCACGGGGCCAACCCCCAAAGCACCATCCGCATACATTCTGTTTAAACTACATTGTGTTCAAGTCTGCGTGAAAAAATCACAAGGAGTCTATTGACATGGCTGTAATTGCTCACACGCAGTACATAAAAATTCCTCAAAACACAAATCAGGGGAAGGAAACACAGACTAAATTGGTAGATTTATGGATGTGACTGGTCATGAAAACATTTGCGCTCTGCATTCTGGTTATTTTCCTCTGCATACATGATGGCGAACATGCCCCAGACAATCCCCGAAATTTTGTAAACAACCTACGACAGTGGAAACTAATGTTGAATGTTCCTCATGCCGCACAAGACGGAATAACGAGAACCTTTCAGGAAAATGACGCTAGTCTGTTCTGCTCCACCATATTTGTTCCACTGAACTCGGATGTTCAGCCCGAGCGAGAACTCTTGTGGCGATTGTACAAAAGGTGTTTCTCACGGTGCTCCTTACGATTGATTTCACAGTCCACTTGGCGATAAATTTCACTTTCTCCCCGCTACTCGATATTTTTTTACGGACTGTCGTTAACGCAATGTAATTAAGGCTCGCCGTCCTGCCATATTCACACTCTGTTTTCATTTCGCCATTGAAGAGCAGTTTGTGAGAGTTTTATGAAGATGACATAAGCAAAACCAGACTGTCAGAATGCAAACACAAATGATTTCGTTGTCATTAAACCTTCGTCCGTCCATCCATGCCGTTTATCCTCACGAGGGTCGAGGTCATGTGTGGCCTAAACCAGCTGACTTGGGGCAAGAGGCCGGTGACACTCTGGACTGGTTGCCAGCCAATCAATCACAGGGCTAATCTAACCCTGACAGTTGCATGACATGACTTTAAAAAAACAAAAACAAACAAAAAAAAAAAACCCCAGCCAGTAACATCAAGACGCCATTTCGAATGATAAAAAGCCGAGTTTATCTTGTGCGCGTGCCCCTGAATGGTCGTCAGCCATACCGTGGAGGTAATAGTGGTAATGGGCTTTGTCATCTCCGCTATGTCCTCATTGAAGATTACACCATGAGGAAATTATGCGGTGACAAAATTGTCCTCTACGGGTCAATAACCTAAACCTTGACGCTCCTCGCTCTTCACAGTCATCCACTGAGGAGGGGCTCTCGGTTCCGCAGAGAGGATCTGCAACACGCCGGTGCGGGCGCAACAAATAATTACAGCTGCGCCTTGTGAAATAAAGCTCGTATCAGCCTGCTAGATGTGATCTGGTCGCATCTCCTGTAAAAATAACTCATGCAAATCAAATGGAAGGACGGCTTCCCTCGCAAGGTTTCTTCATACTCAATTACAACAAGTGAGAGCATCGCTGAAGAGCATCTTAACCGGAGTAGATTTAAGGTTGATGTTTCTATAACCCCTCCATTTAATTTATCGGACCAAGACCGACATTTTATAACGGTGGCGTTGGTCCTTGCGGCGGTTTCACATTTTTTTAAGAACAGGGCACTGAAAGCTGCTTAGTGGGCCCTGCAGCGAAGATTTGCATTTCACCACTCAAGGAATTACAGCAAGCGAATGAGCAGGAAGGGCGGAGGGGGGTGACTGCGGCGGATTAGGGTTGTAACAGGCTTAAGAGAGAGGTTGGAGGATATTTCTGTGGCATCTAATTTGACCTGCAGCAGACACCGTTCAGTTATACGCGTCTGTCAGTGTATTCCCCACCACCTGACACACCCAAGCAGACAGGGCTAATTCATGAGGCTTAAGCATATAACATTGGATTGGCTGCAAGTGAGGCGACCCCCCCCCACCCCCTGCACCCCCACCCACTCCCAGGGCAATGGCTGACTGACAGGAATGTGAATTACTTACAGTACCGTATTTTCCACACTAAAAGGCGCACTGGATTATGAGGCGCACCTTCAATGAATGGCCTATTTTGTCTTTTTTTTTTTTTCATATATTGGACACATTCTAAGACGCAATCTACAATGCATCCACTAGATGGAGCTACGCTCAAGGAAATGCCAACAGAACACGACACGACACTACACCCTGATTTATATAGCGACGATCAAATGTCAGTAAAACTTATGTAATAAAGCAGCGACACAGTTCACTTAACCGACAGCAAGTTATAACATCGACTTGTTAACGTCGAACTCTCTTGCCGCTGCTCCATTTCCGTGTTCAACTGCGGAACCGATCGCCTTAAGTTTGAACTCTGCGTCGTAAGCATGTCTCGAGCGAGGAGCCATTTTGGAGTTGAGATATTACCGTAATGACCATCCAAAAGGCGCATCGGATTTTAAGGCGCGCTGTGAGCTTTTAAGAAAATGGAAGGCGCTTTTTAGAGCGGAAAATATGGAAATAATTATCCTCAAAAACTAAAATTCCTTAACATATATGACCATTTGTACACGGTTCCAAATTAGAAGTCCCGCTGACCAAAACTTTAAAAAAATAAAACATGGAACATTCTGTATCTGTGGCATCTGCAACACTCGACAGGTGACACGATGACCACGTTTTGTTTTTAATGTCGTTGCAAGACAAACGACCTCTGCCAAGAATTTGCAAAAATCAATGACCGAAAGATCCCCCTCGGCTGTAAGAACAACTCACAGTCCAGGGTGCATCGGATGTGAATGCAAGGTGTGTCTGTGATGTCCTCTTCGGAGGCGATGTAGTCATGATCCTCACGAAGAAGCAACACCTATGCAGGTGTGAAGCAGCAACACGATGGCCAATATTCTTTTCTTGATTCCAGGTGTGAGCATTTCAGCCAACCAGGATGCGGAGACGGACATGGAGACTTTCCAGATGGAAATTGACAAGAAGAGCAAAAAGTCCATGTTCAGGACAAACGGGGGCTCCTACTGGACTCTTGTGACACATGGAGAGATCCAGTCCACTGCATCTGAAGCGTAAGTAGCTTTCGAGAGGTGCGTTTTTTTTTTTTTTGTAGCAGACTATTATATCACTGTTCAAAAGGTGGCTCCAGTTTTTTCGTGCGGTGATTACAATGCTGGCCCTTCACTTTTCCAGCACGACTGTGTACATAGCAAAAGTCAGATAAAGAAGAACCAAAGTTGTTACGAATAGTTTTGCATCAAGGAAAACGTCGTGTGTCGGCTCAGGGTGAAATGGCAAAGATTTTCTGTGAATTCAACTTGACCGGTCGTCACAGGTAACTCACATTTATTCAGCTGACAAAAGAAGTAGGAGTCACTGACTGGCAAGCAGTCCAGGTTGGGTGCCAGCTCGCCTGAACGAGTCTGATAGAAAATAGGTGATTGGCCCTGACTGAGCCATCTTAACACCTTCTGGATGAACAAAAACAAGAGTCCAACATCAAGGACCATAACAAACGCTCTTCTGGAAAGTACCACATCAAGGTGAGATGAGGGATGAACATTTTTTTTTTTAATGCGAGTTGCCGAAGCCAATGCTGCGTTCCACATTTTAAGTGTTGAGCAAATTAGACCAAAGTTCCGGCGCTCCTCGCCGTTGTCGATACGTCTTCAGAGCTTTTATCGATTCCTGTCACCTGACTCACGACATCAGAAGCTTCAAATGTCAGTGGTGCTTCGCCATCCCCCATCATTGGTTGTGTGTGCCAAATCTGCTGTGCGGGATAAATCCGTTTGATGTTTGACAGATAAAAAGACTTTTTACGCATGAGTGGACAAGCACAACTCCATACCAGCTATATAACTGAAACAACGAAGGGTGTATTTTGACTACGGAAATATTGCATGAAGTAACATCTGGAGCACCAATGAGTGCGGGAACAATTGTCTTCATGTGGGTCCGGGGTAATTTACTGTATGAGAGGAAAAATGAGGCTGTTTCAGAGGGATAATACTCCAGAAAGATACCAGAACTTTTGGGGTAGTGACTGCAATGGGAAACAGAGAGTGTCTGACTTGGATGACTCCTCGACACCTTTAATTTCACTTCTCAAAATTCTTCAGACATTAACTCATTCACTCCCAAAGACGTTTTTAAACGTCTTTTCAGACTTGGTCCAGAATTGGCTGGTACCGAATGAGTTAAAGACGTTCAGAGTCAAATGAGAGAAGCAAGTTCATCTTCAGCTGTTTGTGATTTTTTTTTCTGCCCCCCCCCCCCATATCCCCAGAGAAATCAATACAATGTTTGACATCGAGTGGCGGGGACACAGAGTGGCTCTCAAGGCCAGCAATGGCAAGTATGTGTGCACAAAGAAGAACGGGCAGCTCTCGGCAGTGAGCGATGCTGTAGGTAAGTGCTTTTACGAGTCTGGTTCGAACTAGATTGCCGGACGTCGAGCTGTAACCGTATGCTATGTCCTGTTCTTGGAGGGGAGGATGAATTGTTCCTGATGAAGCTCATCAACCGACCCATGCTGATCCTCCGCGGGGAGAATGGCTTTGTGTGTCACCACAAGAACTCCAACACTCTCAATGCCAACCGATCGGTCTACGACATTTTCTCACTGATATTCAACGACGGCGCCTACAACGTTAAAAGTCAGTGTTGGCGGAAAAATCGACCGGACAATCGCTCAATCGCCATCGACGATTGTTTTTAAACCGGCTGTCGTGTTTTGGCAGGTGTGAATGGAAAATTCTGGTATGTCTCCAGTAACGGCCTCGTGTGCTCAGATGGCGAAAAGGCTGAAGATTTTTTCTTGGAGTTCCTGGAACACGGGCGGATAGCTATCAAAGGTTCCAACGGCAAGTACCTTCGAGGAGACCAGGGAGGCACGCTCATGGGCGATCGCACTTCAGTTGATGCATCCTCTCTTTGGGAGTACTAAAACCTCATCAAGTCAGTGTCCTAACGCGGCGCAAGACGATAATGAGATGAAGAAGCTGCTGCTGTCAGCTCACACAAAGTGGATTGGCTGGCTAACATTTTCATGCCATGTTTTATATCAGCAGCCAGACGCCCAATCGCATTTTTAAATTGAGACATTTCGGAAGAGCTTTGGTTCCTCATTTTGTTTTTTCGTCTTTGAAATGACCACATAATTGCCAATGTGGGAGCGAAAAGAAAAAAAAATAATCATAGCTCATCCAAATATGTTCTTTCAATCGAGGCCAGCAAAAGTACATCATGTCCAAGCAGACACCCACAACAAAAACGTCCTGATTACGAGTGCTGTCTAGTTCGTATTGAATGCCATCCAAATATTATTTGTAAAAGCCATTTGATGAACCAAGGCCACCACGAGTTCCACCACAAAATGCAACCATTCATCTCGGGAAATAGAAACGATGAAATTTCATCCATTCAAAATTGCTTTTTTCTCAACAAACACGACTGAAATTCGATCAGGAAAATTCCGGATCCATCGCAATATTGAAACAGGCACGCTTTTAGTTTCGCCGACCCTCGCGTTAAAGCCACCCCCCGCCCACCCTTGTTTACAGTCCTTTATTTTTGCCCAATGCTTTTCCTGGGTAAGCTCCAAAGGCAAGGCGTGGCCCCCTAAACGTCACGATGAGCAATTGGTCATGCCCCGTTGTTTTTAAAGACAGACGGGCGATCGCCAATGGAGTTTTCATTTATTTTAATGGGCCATTTACAGCTTCCATAAAACACGGTATGACACAAATGAAGTGGACTTGCGCAAATGGACTGTATAGTTCGAATGCCAAGCGATGTACAGTAAAGCAAACTTGGCGGTATCGTTGGGGTGGGGGAGAAAAACGTGTGGCAAATACCAAACATAGTTTGGGAAGAAATATCAAAACAGCAACATATGAAATGAGCGTGAAGCAAAGGCAGAGGTAAAGCATTGCGTGTGTGTCTAGTGGGTAAAGTTTCTGCATTGGGGCCTTATACTGCATTCCACAGTAAATCACTTTAGGGTTTTATGGCTAATTAGAGCAGGTTAGGGATAGGCAGCGTTTGGGTGCTGATGAGGGAGAGGGTTTTCTCGTCGGCATGGGCAAAATTTGCATTTCATTGTTGAGGAATCACATCTCGAAGGAACTGAGGCGAAAAGGGAGTATACCGTACGCAATTTGGCGGCAACTGTTGACCGAGTCGAGTTTGTGGTCTGAAGAAGACCGACATGACGTCCGCTATTATCGCAGATCCCCGATGGGGCGCCTTTCCGCTCGATGCAACAGCAGCACCAAAAGGGTTGCTTAGAACACGCCGATGAAAAGTTAAAACAACAAATTCATCGTTCATTTTTTCCCCTCAGGAGATTCGAGAGATTTAGACAAGGGCCCATGCCGCACCGTGAGAGAGAGGTCGATTGTGTTGGGTAGACAATGGCGACCTCTGTGAATGCTAATAAGGATTGTGCATTCACAGTCCATGGAGCACCGAATTTACAAAATCACAAATCGATCATCGCAGAGTTTCCTAACGCCCACTGTGACGCTTAAGTAAGGTCAATAGCTTGCTAAAATCCAATCACCCCAAACCAATCAGAAATTCTGATCATTGTATAGCACTTTCAGATGTTCATGGCTTGGTAGTAGGCTCAAAAAAAAAAAACAAAAATATTGCAAAAATGCATTTGTGAGTAGAGAGTGATATGATGGTACAACGGCAGCATCCGTGAAGTGGAACACCGTTTTCATCTTCCCTCCTGGAGTTGGCACTGTTCTTGAAAAGTGACACTCGAGGGTTCAACAGATTCGATCACGGTGAACGCGTGCTTTCATTTCCACGAGCAGACTGTCCATCAAACTATTTTCTTGGAATCAAACTATCCAGAATAAAATCTAAATGTGTCTACGAACCGAGATGGTGTGGGTCTATTTCTGGATGTCATTACTGCTCTCTAGAGCTCTTTTTCCGGGGTGACATAGACAATCCTCCGGAGGCTCTGTATGTATGTGTGCAGATTTATATCCGTGACATACACTGGGGGGCAGTGTGTGCCTTCTCGAGTTTAGTCAATTCACACACATACACACAGTTTGGTTCCAAGGACTGAGACAAGCCTCCACCGCATGATTTCCAGCATCGTTGAGAATCTCAGCATGCTCACTGCCCTCCCACCCCCAAGCACGGTCATCTGGCGCCACACAACTCCTCCTCACCGCTACCTCAAGTGCAAAACAATATCCTTACGAAATACATAGAAAACAAGTGCAAAAAGTGGCGCTTCCGCAACTCTTCACTGTTGAGAGAAACCCTTCTCCCAAGCCAAATTGTCAACCGGATTGTTGACTCGAGGCAAACAGCCATTCCGGCGCGTAAATCTTTTCAATCAACTCTAAAACTCAGCCCTGACATATTGACAGAGCACACAAACGACGAATACGTCGACAACAGGCAGAGCGGCGTGGAAGCAGATGCACTTAGGGGATTTTAACGTCCTTGAAACGGCTGCGGTTTTAAATTTATACGGGAAAGCCAAAAATACGCACTATGGTAAAATTGAATCCCAGAATCGTGACAAGGTGGGACCTCAAAGGTCACCCCAATGCATCAGCATTCAACACATTTCCCATTGAGGGTAATTATTTGGGGTGGGGGGGGGGGGTTGCTTTAGAGTCTAATCATGAAACTCGACTGTCAACATTTATCAAGGAATTTTTTTGGACAAGTATAAGCAGAAGTGAGGGAAAAAAATAAGACACTCTAAAACCCAACCATTTTTGGGCCAAGACGCAAATTTCTTGACTGTGATGATAAAGTCATCGATTCCCAACGAGGCGAGTGAACGCAGACACGACTCCGGCAAATTTGGACGTATTTGCGATTGTCGGATGTTTTCGAAGGATGAATCTGATCCTCCGGTGTGGGGTGTGTCGAGAAGAAATGATCTGCTCGGAAAATGGTCGAGACCAACAAATATAAATAGCAATGTGTTCAATTTGTACAGTCTCCAATCCCGAATGCGTGCGGTCAACAACGAGTCGAACCGAGCGGAAAAACTTAATGATTGCGGCGTTAAGGAGATCAATTGCCAATTAAGCAGCTCCCGAATCATTTGATGCTGACTGAAATGGGGTCTGGTTATCCGCCATCACATATTTTATGTCAATATTTGCAGATTTCCATGCTATCATGAAGAAACAACTACAAAAACAAAACACTCCAACCATTTTCTCTTCTCACAGCACTTTATTTTATTTTTTTAATGAAATTGCCTGCACGGTAATAAGCGTAGCTTTACCAGCAGGTTCTTTCTGAGAACAAAGTCCTCTTGACAGGTAGTTTGACAGGGAAAAAAAAAAAAATCATGCTTTCAACGCTGGGTGAATTGCATTAGCACGAATGAAAACTTGCTTTCAAATAATCATCTTAAGTAGTAGGTGTCAGCTTTAATTGCCTTCTATCCCCCGTACACATTTTTATACATGTTGAAACTACATGAGCAAATCTTGAAACGTCTTCCTTCCGCTATTCGATGAAAGTAACTTGATACCGCCGGTTTACTCACAAAATCGAACACGATCCATAATCGCGGCGCAAATTGTTTCTCATCCCAAACCAACAATTCACATCGGAAATACTGCAAAATGAATTCATTGGTTCCAAAATGCTCCCATCAGACACCAAATCTAGCGAATATTTTTGTCGATGGACGATGCGGCGAGAGGCAAGAAAATAAGTGAGAAATGGGGAAAAAAGCCAACTGCGATCCCGCTCACTCATAGAGAGCGTGTGGAAAAGACCAAGCGCACAAGTGGTGTTGAGGTGAAGTGCACCAATTCCCTTTTCCAATCTGGAGCCACAAACCGTTAAGGCCGTTGGGCCCATCTCTGAGCGGCCCCCCCCCAAGGCAGCTGGTCGAAAGGATCAACCCCATTAACGGGGCTCGAGTGTCAGCGCAGACTGCTCAAAGTCTGTGCTTCCCAATTGGTATAGCCGATGCACCAAAGCGTAGAAAATGAACATAAAGCCAGCGGAACCGCGACTGTGCAACAGAAGAACAGACTGGATCATTTTCATGGCCAGAGAATTATCGGATCAATGCGTGACTCATTATAAGTGTCAGAGTCGAGCTCGCGCAATGGGGTCGGGGGAGGGGGGCGACAAATGACTCGTCTTCACAGCACCTATGCACTTTCTTATGAGAAATGACACAAGGACCCCAAAAACAGGAACACGCCTGATCCTCAAAAAGAAGCTCAGCTTCAGAATTTGAGCAAAAATATTAAGACTCCGGGGATCACTGCTGTGTGCGGTTAGCACACCGGCCAAACAGTTCTGAGTTTGAACCTCAGCACTGGACTTACATGTCGCACACAGTTTCTCAAATAAAAACATTCTCGGTTCATTGACGACTAAATTATTCAATTGTGAAGGTGAGTAGGGTTGTTTGTGCGACCCTGTATACGGTTTTGAGGCTCTACAAACAAGGAAAGTGTGCTGCATGTTTTATTTTTAATGAAGCGCCAAAACATGGCACACTTGTCAAGATGAAGCGGATGACCCGAGGAAATGAGGTAGAATAAGGAGAGAATTTGGCTATTTTCAGAGGCTGCCGGCATGTGACCACCTCTGCATATACCGCATCGATATATATATATTTTTTTTACCTTTGTTCATAATTTCAATTTGCATGATTTCCAATAGCTTGAATCTCCCGTTTCCATGCTAAGTGGCAAAATGTGCGAAAAACGGTTCCATATCAAGAGATTCTGTCCTCCTTCTCTATTTAGATTCCTAAAAAGCTCAGGCGGCTGTCTGTCAATGCAGAGACACTTCCAAATTCATTTCATGTAAATGCCTTTTCAAACCTATATTTTTACCGCTCTTAGAGCACAAAGGATCTGCTTGAGGCGGCTGAGAGTTGGTTGTTCATTTGAATTCAATTAACTAGAATGGTTTGGACTTCGGAGAGCTCTTTTATGTTGTTGCGTGTCAAAGCACATGACAAACGCAACCACTACACTTCTTCTCGAGCATTTAAATAAATCTCTGAAGGAAATGCCACATGTATAGTACTGACAAATTCATTCATACTGCAGAACGACTGGCTACTTTTATCAAGCACTCTCGAAATCAAATCGAATTGCAATCCCACTGAATCGAACCGCATCAAATTGTGTAAAATGTACTGTCCTTGCATCCCATGCACAGAAATACATATTGAATCATCTTCTATTAGAGACATAAATATTTATGTGCTTTTCTCAACCCCATAAAAATACCATAAAAAATACCAGATTATTACTTTTCATTTGATTACAATTTTAACTAAATAACACATACTTTTTTGGAAATACATACAAAAAATAGATTTTACCTTGGGTGGCACTGGCAGCCATTAGCAGCACCACTTCCGACAGCCATCAGGACCTTTCTTTGCATCGCATTCAAAGGTTTACCACAGCGTTGTTCTCTGGTGTCAGCGTCACAAGGAGCCTTGACTGGCAGCTTAGAAGAGGTTGACATCGGGGACCTAGGGCATAACACCAAGGGCACAAAAATGTCAACAGTTGTGAATAGACTTTTTTTTTTCAGCAGTTTTAGTTTTTCGCAAACCGCGAATTGGCCCGGGTTAAATTTACAAGAACAAAAATGAGCCGTGGCAGCCTAGTTTCTTGTTTTTGTTTGCTTGCTAAAATGGTAAAACCCAAGCATGTGATTTGTGCAGAAGAATATACAGCTCAGTCAAACCCAGAACTTGGAAGCCGGCTCAAAATGGAGGATAAATCATGCATGACTCCCAAATTAAACAAGGAGCTGTTGCTCGTGTGGCGTCCGCCAGACCTAACCTGCCAAGATGGAGAACGTTTATTTTAAAAGACCTGCTATGGGTGAGGAATCAGGACACAGCTCGAGAAAACCTCACGTCATTCCACTGTCTACTATGCGCACCGCAGTGTGCTTAATTGCAGCATCTCTTTCCCTCTTCCCCCGAAGAACAGAGTGCAGCATTTCTCTCATGTTTGCAAGTCCATGTTTGAGTGACTGGTCATAGGGCCACAATTTTCCAAACCCCAACATGCTGAGTGGCAAAAAGCTTGCTCCTTTGTGTCTTATTTTTTTCTTTAACAGGATTAACACTTTCGTTCACAGCTGACTGCAAATTTCCTATAACAACTCTTCTCTCTCTTTTTTTTTTCCACACCACTCTTCTTCAAAAGTGAGAAAGCAGCATGAGAAAACCATTTGGCAGGGAAGGTTTTCATTTCCCTGCAAGAGCTCCATAAGAAATACATGTGAATGGGTTCAAAATATCCTCAAGTACTGGCCCGGTTGTTCGAAAATGTCTCTTGTCTCACTGAGGAACACTTCTTTGGATAAGTGGTAGGAACTTATGTGTTCAAAACACGCACACAAAAGATTGTAATGGTCTCCAAAGGCGCTGCCGCTGCTCATTAGGCGGACATCTTACTTTTGGAAGGGAAAACAAATACGACTTCCCCTTTCCTCCTGCTCACATCAATATAAGATCCTTGGGCTTTTGTTGTAAAATACTGATTTAAAAAGTGCATTTAAGTTACCCCGCAACTGGAGACGTGTTTGTTCAATTCCCCCCGCTGCACTGATCATTATTTGTCTGAGAAGCACGTGACATCACTTTCCTCTCCCAACAATTGACTTCCTCTTACTCCCTACTTTCTACATTGGGAGTCAATATACACAAAGTCACTTAGGTGAAAAGACACTACTTTGGTAATGCTACAGTGTTTCATGTTAAAAATCTGCACACTCACCTCATAGATTATCAGAGTTCCGCCAAATGACAAGTATATTAATTGTGGTGTACATTAATCACACTATTTACTCCTCTTTTTCACTTGCTCGTACAAAGCAGTGTTACACCATCCTTTGCCTTAGCGTTGTCTCTGAAAAAAACAAAAATAACAAAATTAAGACTATTTACATGAATAACAAACAAGTGGACCGGGTGCGTGCGTTACAAAAAACACAAACCTACATTGACTAATCAAGGCGGTGAGTTTTTGGAAATCGAAAACGACTTGGCAAGCTACGTCGCCGTTGGCAAGTATTACGGGTAAAAAAAAAAACGTGTGATTAAAAAGGACTATGTAGGGGTAGGTAGTTTCAAAGAATAAAATGGTGGGTTTTGCTTCGTTTATATTAGTCACGTCATATCGCAAGGAAGCCGTTTCAGGAACACTCAGTTTTCAACAACGATTACATTTGAATTGTTAGACGGCGTACATCGAAACAGGAAGCGGGAGGTACAAAAATAAATTACACTGCTAAACCATACCTTTGACTTATATTTTGAAATGCAAAGCCGGAAGCGAGTTTTCTTTTTCGGAGCACTTGACAAATCTCTACCCATGCGCTTGTTCACCCTGCCTGCGGGTGAATCACCTGTCAGTGTCTTCCTCACTTACACAAGCATCTCCAGTTGTTATCTTTTAGCGGAGAAAGTGACCAGAAAGTATTCTTTTCTTTCGAATATTCTGCGATAAACTCAGAGCTGTCGAGACGGACTAACAGTGATATAAGGAACGGGCGGTGTGGAGAGCTTTTACGCGTTTGATTTTTTTATTTTTATTTTTTTTTTACAAATGCAGAAAATGTGCGGAGTATTCGAATAACTGTCATCTTCGCGATGGGGTACGGGTTGGTGGTTCTCTCTGCCGGCTGTTCGGGTTTGCTCAGCTTTTGCTTCCTCGCCGTTTCAATCGGAACTGATTATTGGTACATTATCGATGTGAATAAGCCTAACTACACTGACTCCGCGGAGCTGAGTTCCTACTCTGGACTGTGGAGAATTAATGAAGGTACGTGCACTTACTGATTGCTGCAATAAAGCATGGCAGGAAAAAAAAAAACACCCTTTTTAAAAGTTTTTAAAAATATCAGTTTTTGTATTGGGGTTGCTTTAATGTAAATCCTTGATTTGGTTTTGATTGGAACGAAGACAGTTGAATTGTGATCAGTACTTGGATGCAAGACCAAAGCCCCTGTGAGGGAAAGATGGCCAGACTCAGACAAATACAGAATGTTGGAGTCAGGCGGGGCATCTACCATAAAAACCCTATGTCAATCCCCCCACCCCAAAAAACTCTTATATGTGTAGGATGGGGGAAGTGTACATAAGTGGCTTTTCAAATATTGTTTTTGATAGAAATAAGGCGCAGCTAAAGACGAAAACAAAGAATGGAAAATAACTAATCTCGCCTGACAGGTCCTTCTCAATTGTGCGGACGCCACAGGAATCCTAGTAAGAAATTGCCAACACAACTGCAAAAATGAAATGGGCTGCAAAAACTCCATTGTGGTTGAGGGCGTAGCCAGAAAACGTGTCAAGTGCCAACTGCGACCCGAGTGAGGACAAGCGGTTTAGAAAGTGAATGAGTGAATATCATGACGACAACCTTGAATGCAGGCTTCTTTCTTTTTTTTTTTAATGGACATCACTTTGTACGGCGCTTTTCATCCTTCAATGAATTCTAAGCACCCCGAAGAAGCAGACACACTGTCGTGATAACGCAAGCCCATTCACACACTGATTACACAGCATCAGGAAAAATCAGGCGGTGAGTGTCTTGCTCCAGGATGCGGTCTATCGACGTGATGATCTGCGTCTCCATCTCACAACCTTCAAGTTAAGAGACAGCCATTTTATCATCCAAGCCAAGCCTTTGAAGGAACCATACTTTTTTTTTTCTCCACAAATTAGGAGAATCGGACCAATTTTTTTTTTTTCTCCACAAATTAGGAGAATCGGACCGAGAAATATAAGCGATGTTACATAATGACACTTGTCAATGAGTGCAGCAAACACCAACTTTACTGAACATTCACACTGCAGCTCTGCTTACCTTTTAAGTCTGACACGATAGAGCTTCCATGTGGGCAGTCACTTGAAAGTGGCATCTCTTCACCAAGTCTAGCTGCTAAGTCATGAGCGGAGAAATCCAGCGTCGGGGGCGGTATCATGTGAATTCGAAGTTAGGTCACAGTCCGGTAAAATTCGTAATCTCTCACTTGTGAATGCATGAAAAAAAATAGCCATAGAGCAAAATATGTATTTAATATTTATTTATTGGTTGTTCAATTTCATACAATCACACCCAATCAATGGGTGGCTCGAGACTCCAAGCATTTGCACACAAGCCATTAAAAAGTCAATTATTCACCATCGTAGGTCGATATCCATTCATCTTGTTAAAATATGCGATGCAATAATGTTTGGGATCTCGGGCTTTTCGGACAAAATTTCAGGAGAACACTTTGTCACCGTTCACCTTGAAAGCTTTTTCACACGGCAGTTGAAGTTCACGAACAAGGAGCTGAAATTCACAACAGGTGTTTGAGCCATGAATCGACGTCATCAAGGTCGCCTTAAACGTTCAAAAATCAGTTTTGTTTTTTTCTCCCCTGGGCAATGTGAGTTCTTCGAGATGATAGCAATTGGAGCCATTGAAGCAATATCATTTGCTGTGTTGGGCTATCACAATCACTGATGCGATAAATGCATTCTCCTTGGAACATTTTCAGGGTCGAACAAGAGTTCGGTCATCCCTTCCTTTACGGCCAACATGTCCGCCCTGTCTGATGTGGAGAGGCACCTTCTCAGTGAGTGCTCATGTTTCTTTTTTGGCTCGTTCGTTTGTTTTTAAATTTTTTGTTTTGTTGGCAAGCAGACAAAATGGGGGGGGGGGGGAATGGAGAAATACAAAATGCTGTCACTAAAAACATCAAAGGGTTTCTGCGAGAGGCAGTCACCCTGTAATGACTGGGTGCACAGCAATTTCAAAGAAGTGCAAACTATTTAATATGAGGATGAAAATGGAATATACAGTGTTAAAAATGTTTCAATTGATCAAGTATCTTGTTGTGGACATTTAAAAAAAGTATAATTTAAGCACTTAATCCACACACTATAGTTTGCAGAGCCAATTGAATCAAATTATGTAAAGGAAAGGAAACATATCATCATCCTCCGAACTGAATGGTCATTTTTTGTTTTCTCACGAAAAACTGAACCCTATACTTATTATATTTATGAACAAGTACATTTCTGGTGTAGACGTGAATGATATGTTTTTGCGAAAGATGTAGCTGATTTTAGCAGAGGTGGCCAACATCCTGAGGGATATTTTTTATTTATGATTTTAAGATCCAAGAGACTGCATTTTTTTTTTGCCACTCCTAATAACACCTCCTTATTTGTTTTTCTGCTGTATTTTCATGGTGACTGAGTAAATATGATGAGAACGCCAGAGGCACCAAATAATGATATTGACCCATCCAACCTCAATTTACCGTACTGCGCTACTTAGCTCCCCCTGCTGGAAGTGGTCAGTCACTGCCGACATTTGGCCTTGACGCAAGTAAACTGTAATGACAAAAAATCATTTCAGATGTGAGCACCTTTATTCCCCTCCTCATCAATCACAGTAACGCACAACTACTTTTGTGGAAACCAGCACAAAACTAGTGACTTTTAACCGAAATGCAACAAACGACATTCAAAGCAGAGCTCTCGCCCTCACACTCCCATCAGAGGTAATTATACGAAAGAGTGGGTGACTGGACCATTGAAATCACATTTTCTGCTTCGAGCGTTCATATTGTGTCTATTATTAGCACAAAAAACAGCCCGATGATTCAGATTGCACACCGAGAGCAAATTGGACTCCCATGCTGTTTGCGTGATTGTCTGTGTTTTCAGAGCTCCACAAGGCGGTGGTCATCATATTGCCACTGGGCTTGGTGCTGCTGGTGTTTGGTTGGATTTTCGGGCTCGTCAGTTCGTTGGCCTGCAGCCCGAAGCTATTGACCGGAACCGCATTCTACTTTCTCATCTGCAGTACGTCCACACGCCAGATTCGTTTTTCTTCTCTTCTGAGCCAGCGTTAGCACTGTAATGCGTGGGCTGAGGCGAATGCTTCTACACATGAAGAACCTTCACAATCCACCGTCAGCGCTGCACTACGGCGTCAATTTTTTTTTTTTATTTCTCCTTGAGGCGGTTGCAAGAGTCTCGTTTCAGCCCTGTCAATACCCCCCCCCCCCCGCTAATGTCTGTACGTTCTACTGGCAGAGTGAATGTGAACAGGTGGCGTATATTCAGGCTGACTGAGGCATTGAGTCACTAAATCACTTTTACAACAGCGCGATCTGTGTTTGCAAACACTAAAGACGGCAACTGGACTTGAGTTATTGCACGCCGGTTTCATTTGAATACATCCAAGTTTATTTCGGTTGACATGATAATCTAAACCTCCATCGGTGTGTTTAGGTTTTTTTTTTTTGTTTGTTTGTTTGTTTTTTTCTAGAGCGCTTGCCCTCATTTGGATTGCAGGTGAGCTGGCGTTTATCTCAGCTGACTTGAAGTGGTTGCCGTGCAATAGCAGAGCAAATACACATAGCAGCAATTCACACTCTCATTCACACCGATAATCGGGTTATATTCCTGGATTGAGCAAACATAGGTTTTATATATATATATATATATATATATATATATATATATATATAGAGAGAGAGAGAGAGAGAGAGAGAGAGAGAGAGAGAGAGAGAGAGAGAGAGAGAGAGAGACTCCACATCACCAAGATTTTATTTCTTTTTTTAAATCGTCTTGACCAATTTGAGTTAATCACTAAAAGTCATCACCCGGCCCTGCTCAGACTTTTCAAAATAAATATCTTTGATGAAAGGATTGGCTCTTGCTGGGGGCCCCTATGGCTCGACTGGAGGAAAACCAAAATCGGAATAACAAAACACGGTAACGAGGACTGCCGTGCTGCTAAATGGTCATATAATAATGAGTTTCCCTCAGCAATCGACCATTTTTTTTCTTTCTTTCTTCTGGCAAGGCTTCATGCAGCGGCGGAGTACGATGGTATAGAGACTGTTCAGAAAGGAACTCAAGAGAAATGGCTGTTGGGAGGGAGAGCGGGAATGGCTGCATGTAGATGCACAACAAATCAGTAATACAGAGAAGCTTCCTCACTTGGCCATCTTCCAGCACACAATCACTTCATTTCATACAAAGCACCCATTTGCCCGTGCTCTGCACATCTCGAACAGCGTGCACCAAAAAGACTGCAAGCCTTTTAACCCTTTCATGCACCACGAATGATAACTCGGAACCTTGATAACATGTCCCCGAAGGGGTTAAAATCTGGTAAGGATCGCTTGATTGGGTTTACTAATATAGTCATGAAAAACCTGATATCTATTGTGTCCGTTGCCGTCGGAATCTGTTTTTTATCCGGGGTTCAAAAGTCTTTGAAAGTATTGCTGAGTCATTGTAGCGTTTGTCACCAAGACCGTTTTGTTTTGCAAGTTGAGGCAGCCTTGAGTCTCGTACTTGGTGAAAATTAGTTTGGCTCATAGATGTCAGTAGCCAACGGGATGAAGAAATTGTATGAAACTATTTTGAAAGGGAATTGAAAAAAAAGAAAAAATAATCTTAAACTGAGGCATCTGCATTAGAATCTGGCCGCAATCAAATTTTGCTTTCTGTCTCCTTCAGAGAGGCCATAATCATCGCTTTCCTTGATTTTTTTTAATTTAATCAAGAAACACGCGCTTCATCAGAATGATTTGCCTACAACTCCACTGCACATGAAATAGCCCCCTCATGGCAAATTCAAAAGAATAGTTTTAACTCTGCATTCAAGCCAACCTTGATTTGTCATGCAAGACAATTGAGCCATCAAAAGAGGTCAGAGACAATATTACGCTGATAAATGACAGACTTAATGGAAAAGCTAATCACTCATACAATGAATGCGGCGCTTTTTGTTTTGCATTAGTCTGCAATTGAGGACAGACGGCTTAATATGTTTTTTGTCTTGTTTTGTTTTTCAAGAAAGGGTAATTGAAGGCTAATTGCTATTCGGTAAACTGTGAATAATCAATGCAAAAAGGGAAAAAAAAAAGGTTTATTTTGTTGATATTCATCCAACTGGATTCCAACCGTTTACTGTGATGGAGGATTCGTCATGAATGCTGTTCAAGGCGTGGACAAATCACCCCGGCTTGTCTCTGACATTTAAAACCCACTGTAATGATTCACAGATCCCTCTAGATGGCGCTTTGGATTTTAGATCAGCGCAGCTTTTACATAGCAGGAAAGGATTCGGGGTTGAATATTGTCTTATCACGCCAATTAGTAGGGTGGAAACATGCGAAGAGGTGATTTTTCGCAGTAAAAAAAAAAATGTGTGAAGTGCAAATTGGCAGGGGTTCATTGTACTGAATGCAGTATACAGTTGAGTCCCATCTTGTCATTTTTCATCTGTCCAGGTCTCTTCACCGTGACTGGGGTAAGCCTCTACATCGAATACTCCAACAAGGCCATGGAGGAGTTCCAGCGCGTCGTGGCCCCAAAAGAGCTCGCTTATGTGAAGGTGTCATTCGGTTGGTCCTTCATCATGACTTGGATCTCCTTCGCTTTGGAGCTGGCCGCCGGCCTGCTTCTGCTGCTGGCTGCTAAGATCATTCAAATGAGAGGACGCTACGACTGTGGCATCGCCGTCACTTTGTGAATGTCAAAAGTCTTGCAGTTGACCTTTTGTTAAGTCACAACCCCCTAAAAAAAAGGCAGACCGACTCATCACAGCAGAGCACACATGAGAGGTCCTGAACTTCTCGCCATAGCATCCTATTGAACACAATCCATTCATCCTTCTCAAGGTGGAGCCTAATCCAGCTGACCCCAGACTGGTTGCCAGCCAATCAAACAAGTTGTGCCTCTCCCTAAGAATGCACACAATCCCGACCTCAGAACTGTAAGGCAGATCACCCACTAGTCCACCGCACTGTGTAGAACACTATTTTGACCACATTTTTATTTATTTGAACCTTTTTTTTTTTTTAATGGTTCAGCTTCCAAAACCCCAGACTAACCCAGACAAATTGCGAGCTGCTGATAAAGCCCTGCGCACCCTTCTGCCTGCTGTTTCAGTCTAAAATGTCATTTTTTTTCCCCACCCCCAAAATTTGATAATGCTCCTCCAGGCAGTGCAGACAATGTCAGTTTCCAGAGCTTGATGCTAGCAACGGTTACCAAGGCGGAATGGGTCTTAGCGAAAGGTCAATAACTGTAAGAAAAAAAAAAAGTGCTACAAAAGCCCACCTCATTCTATGTGACTATGGTGCATAAAGTTAAATTCTATTTGTCCTTTTAATGTATTTGTTTTTTACATTTAATCATACATACATATATATATATATATATATATATATATATACAGTATATCACTGTACAATCAGTTCAGCTCTACCATATTGATCATCACACCAATCCATTTGTACAAGTTAATTATATCAGCAGGCAAAAACATGAAAGGTAACAGTAGTAACTAAACAAATGAGATTTGATGAAGCATTGTTGCGCTTCAGTCAAAATGTCACTGGAGACAAGTCGTGTTATGAGTTTGTGTCATCTACAGTACTAATCGGGTCGCAACGTAAACAGGTGGAACTCAGTGCACCATGGGAAATCACCGCGTGAATCGAGGTCTAATCAAGCCCGAGTCAGCCTGAACGATAAGATGTGGAAAGCTGCAGGATTGAAAGTGCAAGATTGGTTACTATTAATGCTCTAAAATGATCATTACTTAGAGGCAATAATTATGGGCTGAGGACGGACCCTTGTGGAATATCACGGTTTATTTCTCATTCAGCATTGAATGCTGTTTTGGCTGGTAAAAAATAAATAATAATAATAATAATATTAATAATAATAATAAATCTGGACTTACCAAACATCAGTGCAAATAACATGTTTTTGGCAGCTTTCTGGTGTGTTTCACGGTAAATACAGAAACTTCTGTTCACTTTGCATTTATGTTGTGATAATGTTGTGACTTAACATAGTTATTGAAATAGATTGTTACATGTTTACTCTCAGTCTTTCAGATTGGTTAAAGTTATTTATTTGTTTGTTTGTTTGTTTGTTTGTTTGTTTGCTTGCAAAATGTGTTTTCATTTCCTGTAAAGCTACAAAACTAAAGAAACAACATCAGGGAAGGCTTCGAATCCAAAGCCTTTTCTTTCACCGTTCTGGGCCACATATCACAGCTACAAAGGTGAATAGAGCCATAAACGTAGAAGAAGAAAATCATGATCAAAATATTTACAAGTAACTCACGTTTCTTGGTGTTTAATGTCAAGTACAATAACTTATTTGAAGTGTAACATGAGAAAATTACGGGTCAAGTGGACATTGATGTTGTGTGCAGTCGGTGATAAATAAAATCTAACATCAAACTAAATTATTTTTCTTGTTTGTTTGTTTTTTTCCCGGAGATGAAAATATGAACAGGCACCTGTGGAATACTACTGACTGATCTTTTGTTATTTTTTTTTATTTATATATTCTTATAATCCTTACAGATTATTTGATTTGGAAACAAAAATGTACTGGAAGTAGTCGCTGATGGTGGAGTGGGACACTCACCTGACTTTTGTGCAGGCTTTTTTTTTCCGGGGGGGGGCTGTTTGTCCCTCTGTGTGCCCTGTGACTGATTGACGGCCAGTTCAGGGTGTAGTCTGCCTTCTGCCCGAAGTCAGCTGGAATAGGCTCCAGCTACTCCCTGCGATCCTGTTCAGGATAAGCGGTGTTGAAAATGGATGGATGTACTGGAGGTGCGAGAATGTGTAGAAAGAAAATGACTTGACAGTGATCCCGACCTTTTTCTGCATCATCTTAAGACACTTACCGAGGCGCCTCGCTGACTGTCGAATCGAGCTGGCGAGCAGCTGCTGGGCAACACTTTCGACTGCATCTAAGGGCATGACAGAAAGCACCAACAGGGGAGTTTGTGAGCGAACAGTTGTTAGTTCAGTTCAGAAAAACATCAGTTGGGAGTTTGCAATGATGAATTAGTGGAGCTTCTTAAAGAAAGCGAAAAAAAGCTTCCAATGATGATGGTCCACACTTTGGCCCTTATGGAACGTCACTTGTGATTTTTCATTCCTCCAAATGTGAGAATTTATTTCCACATGGGTGACGGAGATGAAACGAGTTATTCAATGATGTCAGGTGCAATGATGAAGGATCAGTGACCTCAATCAGTGCTCTCATCAGCTTTGAAGACTGAGGCTGAAGACCAGATATGCTTAATATAAATATACATTATGCATAAGCTGTGTGCTCACTCTTCTATTTATGGGGTATGTGGGGGCACGCGACTCTCTCTGAATAGTCTTCCGGCTCCGACATTGAGAATAGCGGCACAATCTTCAACACAATGGAGGAGAGAGGATAAAGAGCACTTTGTGACTCGCCTCCATCTTTGTCACCATCACTCCACCGGCCAATAAGTCTCCTTCACCCGCCTTCCGGGCGTTTATATCTACAGACTTATTGTCTGTAGAAATAAACTAGCGTTTTCGTTGAAGCACAGCTCCACTTGATCTCCACAGTTCAGCTTCCGCCACATCCCAAAACCAATTACCAAGCGATATTACTCTGGCTAAATGAAGCGAGCAAATAGTGCAGGGCACAAGGAGAAGCGACCTCCATTTCTGCTGGTACCTGCACATGTGACATCCCAATGCAGCAATGCAGCAACACATCATAGACTACGGCCACTTATTTGATGACAGACACCCCTTGGCGATCGATTGCCTTAATACTCTTGGTTACCATATTCTCGTATATATAGTCTGGCAAGTACATTAAAATATATGTGAAGTAAAACTCCAGTCCATCAATCTATTTTCTAATTTTGAGTGTGAAATTGGGTACATCCTGTCCTGGTGCTCAATCAATCGCAGGCAGCGGTGACTGATGTCTTAATCCATCCTCGATCACATCCTTAGTCGGGAGTAAGTAAGGAGGAAGAGCAAAATATAGCATTAGTGTCATTGTCTCGATCTGTCTTTGGGCAGATGATTAATTGTGCTCCTCATCTGATCAGGTTTGCGCTCTTTCATGTCGAGCTTGTGCTGATTTTTTCCAGGAAAGCTGTTTGAAGTCACCAAAACAAAACAGTGCAAAACAGTGATGTCGGTCGGATGTACCCTAAATCAAATTGAATTCAAGTCCGCCGAAACCTCAGTGAAGCTCAGACTCGCACCCAAATCTTCATTCATCATTCTTGTTTACATCAGCGAATGATGTTCAAATCGATTTGCGTCTTGCTTTTTTGGGGTGCGGGGGGGTTGGTGCAGTAAATACATCCGCGTCTTGTCAATTCAGCTTCGGCACTAAGCTAGCTGGGGAGTTCGCCTCCCTTTGACGCTGACAAGCACACGTTTATTGCTGTGATGCTATGAGATGCCAAGTAATGGCAGAGGACTTGATACGCTGCCAAGATGGACTTCAACGAGTGTACTGCGGAACAGTTTGTTTCATGCTAACTATTGCCACACGTTTTTCGGATCTCTGGAACGACCCGCCACTTGCCTTCATGCGACACATGCGCACTCCCCGCACGTGTTCGTACATCAGTACGTAAGGCACACTCCGTGTCAGCCCGTGGAACAATGCGACAATATGAAATGACACATTTAGATTTGGCGTTCACTTTTTAAGGCCCATTCGTCTCTCAGCTTGAGTCACCACCGATTCGTGCACAGCCCCACATCTCACAATTTATTCTAACAAGCAGCGGAAGGCACATATTAAATAAGCTAACGATGATTACTTCAACGTAGATGTGGAGATGTGGAAGCCAGTTCGGTTTAGCAGTACAGTGGACACGTTGCACTATTGTTTTATTGTCTTTTTGTGAGTGTAAAATAATGCCAAACTTTTGGACATTTCGGACATCTTTCACACGCTATTTCTTCCTAATTCGCGCTAACTGCTTCGGGAGTCTGCAGTAACTGCGATATAAAATTAGATATGTATGAAAAGATTGGACACAAGAATTATTTTTTTTAACTTTTGTTAACATTCGTTGATGTCTGCATTTCATTGTGGTTTCCCTTGATTTATTTTCACATTTCAAGGACATCCTGCTGCTGGATCGGAGGTAGCACTCAGCATGACGACCCACGTTTCTAATGACAAAAGAGTGGTTAATAGGATTTGTTGTTAGGCAACAACATAGGAACACAGCACTCAGGTAAGGAGGCACCCCTGCGGTAAAACAAGAAAGCACTGCCAGTTTGCCGTCGTCTCAGGTGTTAAAAAGAGTTGTCAGGGGGCTCATTTTTACAACAGAGGACACCGTCATGAATTCCAATTAAGTCAAACAGCTAAAAGTCTCCACAGAGACCTCCCTCGTAAAACAGCGCAGCAGCTCTCATGACAATATTTCGAATGAAAACTGAAGTAGAGTCACTCCGGAAACAACAACTGTATTTTAACCGTCACACCTGATGACGTTTTCCTGGGAAAGCGTGGAGAAACCGCATGGCCGTGGCCCATAAACAAGCCAAATTAACAATTAAACAACGGCGGTAAAGATTAATCGCCTGGTTTGTTTTTGATGGACGGGAGATTACACAGACCTTATCGCAAAGTCATTACCCAAAGCCTGCCGGCCCTGGTGATTAATCATCCTGTTGGCCGCGCTAGGACAATCAAATTGATCGTCTGGCTCTGGACGGGCATCCCATAATCCACTAGGTGTCAGCGTCCCATCATCTTCTCATCACGCTGCGCTCGCTTGTGTTTATTTATAGGGTGTCTGATAAAGGATGGATTTGACCAGCCGAAGACTTTTTGACTTGCTATTCATCTTTGCATCCTGCGTGTCTGTACATTCACGGTGACATTGAGCTCATCTACTTTGAGGTCACTTCATCGAACAGGAGCCGCGGCTTTCTTTTGGCTACCATTCATGTACACGGATGTCCTGCTATTGATTGTAAAAGGGGTCCATGACATGTGCCAGGTACTCTTTCTGGAATGTAGGTCAAAGGTTATGTTTGGATACACAGCGGTTATCATCGCTTCAGTTCCAGTGTGGGAACGTTGCAACAAAACCACATCGACAAAAAGTAACGACACTGCGCTCTGTCGGAGACATTATTTTTTTTACCATCTCAAAAAAATATTTCTGTGTTGCTCTCCAAGGGCCACCATCACGACCGACATTGAAATACCGTGGCGTTGGATGCCAGGTGTTCATCGAAACCGAGACAGGGTCATTACTCCTAAGTAGATTTAATATTCTTGCGCACGTTGAATATTAACACTGCATCTTAAATAGTAGTGGTTAAATAATGGTTTAATTAAACTTGAATTAAAATTGCATCGAAAATATTTGAAAACAAATAATTCAAAAATATCAAGTGATTAAAAGTTAAATCCAACTCAGGTATGAGATACACATAAAGGGAATGGATAAATACATTTTTAAAAAGCCATGGTAACATTATGAAGAGTTTGGAAATTAACACTGCTATTCACTGTGGGGAAATAAAAATCGGTACTTTTATAATGATTCAATAGAAAACAAATTGTAGTAGTGAAATTAAAAACTGGACCTTCACCAATGTGAAAATAAACGCAAATGCAACTGTGAACACGTGCCGGTCTTGGCAAGCACACATACACGCTTACTGGGAAATACTCTTATTTTAAATTTAATTTGACTCACTAGATCTGCAGCGCAAAAAAATCTGAAAAACATCTTTTTTTTTCTTCAGCTCAGACAAGAATAGTCAACAAACAACGGTGCCATGTTTCCACGCGCCGTGGTGTAACATCCCCCATGTCACGCCGCGCCATCAGTGTGACTCCTGCTGTCAAAACAAACAGTGCAGAAGCATGCTCACTATGTGCAGTCTTAATCCGCAATCCAACACCGCCCGCCGCCAACCCACAGGACAAGTTCGAACTGGCACGACTTGAGAAGCAAAATTAAAGTCAAGACGGGAAGAGCCCGAAAACAACCCCCGTCCCCGCCCCGCCCCCGTGCTGCCTGATCATGCTGCACCACAAAACTTCAGCATTTTCTCCCTCACAAAAAAAAAAAAAAAAAGGGGCATGCGGAGTAGTGCCCCACCAGAACCAGCAGATGGCACTGTGGGTAAAAACAGCGGTGATGAATGTGCTTAGCAAATGTAGTACTTTACGGAGGATGTGATAAAGCGATTCAAACAATGGGTGGATGGATATCAGGGAAAATCGACTTTTTTTTTGTATTGTGGCGTAAATAGTAGTTGTTACCCAGCCTTACACGATTGTTAATTCCAGGCAATGCGGTGACGAAGTTAACTCGGTGAGGTAGTCGTTTTGAGACGAAAAAGTCACCATCACTCATCGACTGACTCACAGGGTGAAATGAGCTCAGCTCCACTCACAGTAACACACTTGAGCTCACATGGTTAAGTTAATGATCAACCATGTGACTGTCAGAGGATCTTTAGGTCAACCGCCCGCTTTTGTTTATACTGTCTGGTTATTTGGAAAGAGGAAATCATTGTATAAGGCTTACGATTCCACATTAGTGGCCTTGGCAGGTGGCCACGGTTCCCGTGAAATTCATTCAAAAAAAAGAACGGAAAAAAAAAAAGAACTCCACCATGATCAAGCAGAAGATAACGGAAATCACAAAAATTAGGTCAGGGACTTTTTTTTTGCCTTCTTCTGAGTAAAGAAAATGAAGTAAAGGTTATTGGTTAAAATGTTTGATCGTTTCTGGATAATTTGGGGCTGCTGAGTCCAAAAATGACATCATCAGTTTCTTCGAATTGGATCTAATATTTGATATGTTGATATTTCCGACGCTGACTTGAGATCACCCCGTTTTTATATTTTGTTGACGACCTCATTTTTTTTTTTTCAGAATTTTGGCTTGATTTGCACACGGAACGTGATTTGCAT